CGGATAGCATGCTATCTTGATGCCAGCAGACAAACAGCGATTCCCTGCTGCCTCATTATTCATCACACTAATTATCCGCAGCTCAGTTCTGCATTTAGAAAGAGCGGAAACATGATTCTAATTGAATATTTATTTAGAATTCAGACGATTCAGTGCTGACGACACCGGTAATAGGTCAGTTCTTTTTGATGCTTTCATATAATTGCCTCTTGCATATGATCACTGAAGTATTGTGAATGGCATTGAACAACAAAAGCTGTATCTCGACGAATCGGCGCAATTATCTTCCTCACAAAACACGAGCGAATACAACCAAAATAAGTCGGCAATTCAATACCCTCTATCATCTGTCGGCACACGAATGCAGACAGACGTAATTAGGTATTTCCTTCATAAGTCCGAAACCATAATTCATAATAAAACAGGCTATCCGATCGGACATCGAATGATGACTTTTATTGGTTTTTTGACGCAACTGCATTCAACAAACAAATCTTCCCCTTTTAGATTCAAATCTTTCAAAAATGGCGACCAAAAAATTCAATCAGTCGCTGATTCACTTTTATGGTCGCCATTCGTGTCGCTCTTTGATGCATTTCAGTCACCACTCTTCGATGCTTTCGAAATTTGGCTTTTGTGAGAAAATCCTTTTAAGTTGCTCAAAGCACTGACAAAACTGATCATAAAGTTGATTCAATACGCCGATGGAAACGAAACTCACTTAAAGACAGACCGGAGTATTAGATTACACAACAGCTTGTTTGATAGGAACAAATCATTGCATTTGAAAATCGTTCACTTGCTTCAGGCAAGTACGGAATAAATCTCGTTTTGGAAGAATGGTCTGATTAAAAAAAAAATTGTGTTTCAAAATTGTGAACGTAAAAATAGATAGTCTTACTCGATATGTAATCAGCACGCTTTGCACGATCATCAATATCGAATTTATTTCTGAGCCATCTTATCAATGCGTTTATCGTTGATACAAGTTGAAGTGCAGGCCTGTGAGGTTGCCGCCTTGTGGTACCTCCATTCAAAACGATCACTTCTCCTCGATCTTCGGACGAATTGTGCTGCTTCACCCAAACTTCACCGCATTCCATCTGAACAGTGTTTGTCATCAATTAATTGCGCATTGTCGCTCCCGAAATACAGTCTTCTACTCGAAACGTTTCAACAACGGATGTGCGCTAGTTTGGACAAGCTTAAAAATTTGACTGGACATTCCTAGGCGATTTCAGTCCTACCTCATATCCATGTATTACTCAATGCTGAATCGTCATGAGACTTTGAGGAACGCAAGAGGAACATGAATTCATCCAAACACAAATTTCTTTCCTTTCAGATTCAATTATCACTCGTCAAAATGCATAATCTACGAGAAGAGGTCATAACTGATAAAAGAATTCTATTGTGAGGATTTAAAGCGGTAATTTGCTTTAGTCTTCGGTGCAGATAAACGCATGACGATACCACGCTTGATCCGATAGTCTATCTGGTAATATGAATCAGCAACGCTCATTCATTATCAGAACGTGTGTAAACCGATGACATGGAATCCCTTTAATGAAATTCAGAGCAAATTTTGTGAATGCCCTTAATCAGTGGCCCATTCGTGGAGAAATATCAATAGTTGACTTTTCTGTCGTTCTAGACATATGCCCTCCAATTGAATATGTGCTTCAATCAGTGGTGAAAGTTAATTATTCGATGCTTCACATGCCACAGGAAGCATGCTGCATCTCCTCTTCAATACTTCATTCAAATTTTCACTTGAAATTTCCAAAAATACGATTTATCAAGATCTACTGCACTCTAAGAGATCAAACGGCTGACAGACGTTTGACACGTTGAAAGAACATCTGCTATTGTGGGATTCGCTGTGAGAACATGTGAACACATTTGGTTTCATGCATGAACACATTGTTTTAAATCAAAAATGGTTAACGAATTGGAGGGTATGAAACCTTCCGTTGCTTCAAATTGAGATAATAAATTGTTTTTCACTTACTCGATCCAATAACCTCGTTGAGCTATGCGTTCCGAACCGTAACCACGGCTCCTCTTGGTCGCAGTCGAGCTGAAATGCGCTTAACATTACTCAACGGCTATTGAGACACAATTATGTCAGTCGTTTTCAGTCCCATTGAAGCCGTCAACAGTTAGCACGAGCCGATTCGTCATCGAACTTGAAGTGATCGCACTGCAGCGACGTCGTACGGTAACCTACTCGTGACGGTTTCGAGCTTTTGAACATGTACTTTGGGATTATTTCATTATTTTCATAGAATATTGCTCGTCGTATCAGTGTGATGTTGAAAAGGCGATTCAGCGCTTGAGAAGCTTGCTGCCCAGAATTCGTCTGTACTATCGAAGGAGCCAGTTTCTTGTGATCAGAGAAACATTTTGCGAAAGCGTTTGAAGCAATTATGAACGATAAACAATATCCTATCATCGCTGACTGACCAATCTTCTCAATCACTGTCAATGAAAGCTACACTGCTAGATTTTTCTGTGAAAGGCTAGTATCTCACTGCTTTGCTGAGCAAATATTCATGTTTCTTTTAAGACTTACCATCTAAAACTTTAAAGATTCAATGAATTAATTGCAGAGAGAACGAAAAAACAAAACATAATACGCACAGCATTGGTATTAGCAATAAGCAGATGTGTTTGAAGTGGCTGCGAGGACAGGATAACGTTTGATTTCTTCTTACTCTCCTTGTTACCTTAAATGATAGGGCATATTTGTTTGTCGATAACCAATTTCCAACTGTTTTTTGAAGGATCATTTCAAAATCGCTCTCATTTCAAAAACAGTTTATGCATGTGACTGAAATAGTGAATTCATTTGAATTTGATTGAAACTGATGAAGTTTTCTGTTGTTGGTGATAATTTGCGAGCTTTGGGCATCGAGAAAGAATCGGCAACAAATGTGTTACCCTTGAAGAACGCTCGAGATGAAACATACGTTACCCATGCGAACTCCAATAGTGCGCCGAATATAAAGAATAGACATGCTGCAAAAAAGTAGACATTCGAGACCAAATTATAGATAATTGCAGGAACATAACAAAAAAAGTGACTGATTTGCAGTAGTACTCAACTACTGCCTATGTTTCGACTGAAACAACAGGAAGCCAATATGTAATAATGATGTGGAAATGATCTTAAGACGTTGTGTGGTGAATTGAATTGTTTTCGATTACACCATCGATAACGACGATTCGTCAAAGTGCAACACTGTTTATCGCTACATATCGACGAACGTAAAAATAAATAAGATGGTAATTTATGACTCTGAAATAAAACCAAAAATTTGATCAATATGGTACCTCCAATCCAAATATCAATTGCTTTAGTATAAGACACCGGTGGTAGTTTAGCATTAATGCCAGAAGCCTGCAATTTACCTACTGAAACTGATGTAGAGTACATGAGATGAGAAGAGGAGAGCAACTCACTTGAATTTGTAAATGTAAGACAAATCATTGCAGCAAATTTTAGAGTATGATGACTTTTTTTCAAAATCTCTGCAAGGTTTCAATGCTAACAGCGCTACGGCAGCGAATGGCCATTCCATGGGACACGAATGAAACGCAAACCTGAGTGGTCATAGTTAGAAGTGTTGTAACGCCGAGCGTAACTCGGGCCGGAACCGCGGTTCGGTCAAGCCAAAATGAGACCCACGATACAATAACAAGCATCGTACTTGGTATGTACAACTGTAGAAGGTAGTAGCTAAAAGTGTAAATTTGATTGGTTTAATAGAGGTATGCGCCCGGTGAAAGCCTCATATCTGGATGGATCAGAAATTAGGCAATCATGCAACGAAAATTTAGGCGGCAGTGATCAGTAATTTTGCTTGATGTGAAGAGTATCAGCAGAAGAAGCTCGACAACGATCAAGCAGCACCTGAATTGTCGACGAAGTTCGAGAACGGTCCTTAAGCATGAATAGCTGCCAGTGTTTGTGGTGCTGGTGCAATATGTTGTTCTGACGTTATTCAGCTGAAAACTGGGCAATGATGAATTGAGACCATCCTTGAGCTGTACTGGATCGTTACTCTTCCACTTGTATTCTGCAAACAGAAACTTCAGTTGACCAAATTCCGTGCTTGATTTCAGATGATTTCAAACGGAAGCAATAACGATGAGTTTTCGCATCCCTCAAAAATCAAACAAGACACTTAGTCAGAGTCGCAAGCATTCATGCACTCAAATCCCCCTACAAACGAGAGGTATTACTGCGCTGCATTATGACATAATTTATGGGATATTGTCGAAATTTCCAGATATGGTGATGACCTTTTCTCATTGAAGTCATCGAAAATTCGGAAAAACAAATCTGAATGAACTGTCTATGCGCTTAA